GGATTATAGGGGTTTACCACCATAGTGATTTGTGGTGATTTCTGTCTTTGGTTACACTGTATGCTATAGCTTTTAAACTATTTTATTTTTATCATTTTATGTGTATGAATGTATTGCCTGCATGTATGTAAGTGCACCTATGTCGTACAATGCCTGCAGAGGTCAGACGAAGGCATCAGATCTCCTGGAACTGAAGTCAGGATGGTTGTTAGCTGCCATGTGGGTGCTGGGAATCAAATCCAGTTCCTCTACAAGAGCAGCCAGTGCTCTTAATCGCTGAGACATCTCTCCAGACCTAGCACATGCCTTTACTCTAAACACTGGGAGGCAGAGGCAGGCAGATCTCTGTAAGATGGAGGCCAGCCTCATCTATATAGGGAGTTCCAGGACAGCTGGGACTACAGGGAGATCCCGTCTCAAAAAAATGAAAAAACAAGAATTGAGGGCTGGCTCAGTGGGTAAAAACACTTGTCACGCAAGCTTAATGACCATAAGGAAAAGAGAGGACCAACTCCCTCTGACCTCTATAAACACAATGTCATGTATTCCTGCTTTCTACATACACACACACACACACACACACACACACACACACACACACCTCAATATATATAAGAAAGATCTTTTTTTTTTTTTAGCTGGGTCTGTAGCTCAGTGGTATAGTACCTACCTACCTTAGAGCCCAGACCTGGGTTCAATCTGAAGTACCTCAGAAAAAGAAAGCATTTGGGAGGCTGCCCTGGGTTCAAGACCAGGCTGGGCTATGTAGTGAATTCCAGGCCAGCCCATCTATGGGATGAGCTTCTCAAAAAACAAACAAAGGAATAAACAAATTGAAAGAAGGTAAGATTTGCTACTGTTGTACGCAGTGGCATTCCTTTTGCTGTGCAGGGCTCCCATTAGAATTCAGTTACTCTGCCTTTTAGAGCAATACTTTATCAAATTCCAATTAGATAAAGAGCATAATTTTGTATGTGGTATTTTCTGGTGCTAATAGTGCCAATGCAGCAATAACTTTATCGATCTCACTGCTGTAATGTTTTTAGACCTGCGAGTAAATGGCTCTGTTGGTGCTATGTTTCTCTTTGAGAAGTTCATTAAAAGAACATTCAAGGAAACTTAAAATGCCTTATTCCTTGAGCAAGGTGAGACTCTAAAAACTTATTTGTTTATTTATTGTGTTTGCACGTGTGCTTGGCACACATAGAAATCAGAGGACAGCTTTTGGAAGTCCAGTTTTCTCCTTCCGCAATGTGGGGCCCTGGGATGGAACTCTTGAGACCATAGGTATCACACAGACAGTGGCAAATCTCATCCTCACAATTCTTGTTTCAGGATCCAAGATCACAAAAGGGATGTTATCAAACACAATCACCTACAATTCTGTTTTAAGTGTATAAGGGTAGTGAACAGCCTGTTATCGCCCCTAATTTCAAACTTCTAAAACTCTGAATTGAAAATAAACTTGGAAAACTGATTTTAAAACCCTTATCTAGGAGATGGCAAGATGGCTCAGTGGCAAGCACTGGCAAATACTGCATACAAAATTATGCTCTTTATCTAATTGGTTAAACAGTTTGCTCCAGGTGAGGCTGTAAGGGGTGAGTGGTCCCCTTGAGGTATTAGGTTTTAAAGAAATTGTATAGCTCAAAATAACCAGAATTATGTCTGATGTGGGTGTTTTTTCTTCTTTAAAGAGATTACTAAATATATGTGAAAAAAACCCAGCACGTAGCAAGGCATGATGATAAATACTGGAATCCCAGTACTCAGCAGACAAGGCAGGAGGATAGCGATTTTGAGGCCAGCTTTGGCTACATTGCTAGACTGTCTCAAAAAACAAAACAATAAAAACAAAAAGCATATAGAACTTTGTGTCTATATTTTTCCTCATGCCTTTCTTTCAGCCCTCCTTCTCAAAGGCCAGTGCTGGGATTAGTCTCAGTAGCTGTGCAGTTCACCCAGTGTCTCCAGCACCCTGAGTAGCGCCTGATCGCACTCTTGGTTAACTGAAGGATACCTTTTTTTTTTTCTTTTTTTTTTTTGAGATGGGGTCTCCCTGTGTACCCACAGCTGACCTAAAACTTGCTATGTAGACCAGGCTGGCCTCATCTCAATGAGACTGACCTGCCTCTGCCTCCTCAGTACTGGGAATTAAAGGTGTGTACCACCTTAAAAATTTTTTGTTTGACTTATTTATTTTTATCTTATGTGGATGAGTATATTGCCTGCTTATATGTAAACACACCCATGTAGTGCAATGCCCACTGAGGTCAGAAGAGGGCAGCACTGGATCCACTGGAACTGGAATTACAGATGGTTGTTAGCCATCATGTGGGTGCTGGGATTCAAACCTGGGTCCTCTGCAAGAGTAGCCAGTACTCTTAACCACTGAGCCTTATCTCCAGCCCTGAAAGGATATCTTTACGCTGTTCTCAGACTTGATGAAATGACTGATTACTTTGCAATGCTAGGTTGGTATTATCACTTTTTCTCTTGTATATTTTTCTCTTGGAGAGCATTGCACTGCCGTCTTAATATAAAGTGTTGCTGTCTAAGTCCAGTTTCTTTGTCTGTGACCTGTTTTTTTCCTTTCTGCAAACTTTTATGATATAGTGCCACTTAAAAAAAATTAAGTACGGGGGTGGCGGGAGCTCTAGAGATTAATCTCATTCAGGTAGGGACAGTTTTCTTGAGTCACTGTTTCCATAGCCACCTTCCTTTATCGCTCTGCCTGCAAAAAGGAAATGTTTTTCTCTCTCTTTTTTTTTTCTTTCTCGTACTTTTTTTTTAACCATGATGTTGGGCTTCATAGGTTTTCCTTTTGTTTTGTTTAGACGACAGAGTCTCTCTATAAAGCCCAGGCTGACCTTGAACTCCATCCTCCTGCCTCAGTCTCTTGAATGCTGAGTTTATAAAATATGTACCACCATGCCCGTTTTGGTGGGGATTTTTTGTGTACATGTGTGATTTTTTTTTGAGACAGGGTCTCATGTATCCTATGCTGGCCTCCATTTCCTGAATCCTGAGATTACATTCTGCGCTTGTGGGGTCCTGGGAATCCATCTCAGAGCTTCATGCATGCTGGGCAAGCAGTGTGCCAACTGAGTTACATCTCCAGCCCCATGCCTGGGCTTAAAAAAATTAATTCTCTTTTTAGTCATTCATTTCTGACTTCATATTCTAATTTCCAGGATATTTCCTCAATTCTAACCTTTCACTTAGTTGGTTGTTAGCCATCATGTGGGTGCTGAGATAACACATCATTTGTATTATCCAGTTTGAAGCTCTGTTGTCCTGTTTCGCCATAGCGTCCCTGTTTGTAAGCACATAAGTCATTCGCCGTTCCTGGCCCGGGCTGCACTAGACTTGTGGCAGTTCTCCTGCCTCCGCCTCTTGAGTGCTGGGATGTCAGGTATATGCTTCTAGGCCTGGAGTACCTCCCCTTCCTCTGCCTTTCATCTTTTACATTTTTTTGTTTGGTGGAAATGCTTTTCTTTGCTTTATTTTTTGTTATTGAAGTGTAATACATTTTAATTATGTTGGTGTAAGGTGTGGTTTTACTGGAGGAAGAAAAGATGAGTATCTGTAGTCCTTCTGCTATTTATTCATTCACTTGTTTATTTGTTTTTTGAGACAGGGTCTCACTATGTAGCCCTGGCTAGCCTGGAACTTACTGTGTAGACCAGGCTAGCTTCAAATTCACAGAGGCATCCACCTGCCCCTGCCTCCTAAGTGATGGGATCAAAGGCATGTGCCGCCATGTCGGGCAACTTCCTCTATTTTTATTTACTTAATTGTTTTGTGATCTTGGAGATTGAACCCAGGGTCTCATGTATGCTAGACATGTATTCTAGTACTGACCTATACCTCAGCCCAGCTTCCATTTCTATTTTAATGTTAATTAACTAATTTTGAGATCAGTCCTTACTCTGTAGCCCAGGCTGGCTTGGAACTCTCTATCCTCCTGCCTTAGCCTCCTGAGTGTTGAGATTACAGGTATGCGCTTCAACCTTTCACAGCTTGATTGCCATTATTTAGTGATTCTTAATTTAATTCTTATGTTTTATTTTACTGATTTAAAAATATTTGTGGGTCTCTGTATATGTGTCTGTGTGGGTGTATGTACATGTGTGTGGGGTGTACCTATGTGAAGATCAGAAAGGGGTGAGGGTTGTCCTCTTCACTAACTCTCCATCGTTTTATGCAGGGTTTGTCCCTCACCTGGAGACTGTGTTTTTGTGGCTAGGCTGGAAGTCAGCAAGCCCCAGTGACCCTCCTGTCTCTGTTCCCAGAGCGGGGGCTACAGGTATTTGCAAGGAGACCTGACTTGTTACATGGATGCTGAGATCCAAACCTCAGTTCTCATGATTGTAAGCCAAGTGCTCTTAACTAGTGAGCCAGCTCTCTAGTCCCTGCTCGCCTGTTTGTTTGTTTATTTATTTATTTATTTATTATTTTTTGGGCAGATTTCATTTTGTAGTCAATGTTTTCCTTGAATATACTATCTAGCCCAAACTGGCTTTGACCTGATAATCCTCCTGCATCAGCCTCTGGAGTGGTAGAGGGTTGCAGGCATGTCCCCCCATGCCCAGCCCACCTGCCATTTTAAAATTGGTATAATCTTCTTCCTTGGAAGCCCAAAGAACTTAATTTTTTTTGTATGGCTTTTGTTTTTTTTTTTTTTTTTTTTTTTGTCTTTTTGAGACAGGGTTTTCCTGTAGCCCCTTCTAACGTGCTCTGTAGACTGGGCTGGCCTTGAACTCCCAGAGATCTGCCTGCCCTGCCTCCGGAGTGCTGGGATTAAAGGTGTTTGTCACCATGCCCCCAAAGAACTTAATTTTATAGATTGAAATGACAAGTTTAATTTGTAAGTTCAGAAGTGATTAGCTTGAAGAAAATATAAAATGAAATGTTAATTTAACCTTTTAATTCTATTTTAACATCCAGAAAGGCAGCATGCTTTGTACTAAGGAATTCTTTGAATTTTATTTGTGTAGAAGAAATTGAGGAAGAGTCTGAAACGACAGTTGAGGCTGACTTGACTGATAAACAGAAACATCAACTGAAACACAGGGAACTCTTTTTGTCCCGCCAGTACGAATCCCTGCCTGCAACACATATCAGGTAAGACCTTTTAGAAGTTAACCTAACATATCTGGAAACACTGTGACCCAAACCAAAGACTTCTTGAAGAGTTCTAAAACTCTCCTCAAGTTCTTGCTCAACCTGGTACACTACAAACTTTATATTAGATTTAAAAAAAAAAGAGATTTTAATTTTTTTTTCTCTTTTTGAAACAGGGTCTCTCTGTAGTCCCAGCTTGCCTGGAACTAACTATATAGACCAGGCTGGCCTTGAACTCACAGAGATATGCCTGCTTCTGCCTCCCAGTGCTGGGATTAAAGGCATGCGCCCCATGCCCAGTGATTTTAATTGATTTTACATGCTTGAGTGGTTTGCTTGCATGTATATAACAGCACCACGTGCTCGTAGTAGTTTGTGGAGGCCAGAAGAGGGCTTGAGATCCCTTGGAGTTATGGATGGGTGATAGCCACTGTGTGGGTGCTGGAAACTGAACCCAGGTCCTGCTCTCAACTACTGAGCCATTTCTCCAGCCCCTTCATACCAGGATTTTATCTTGAATTTATAGCATGTGAAAGCCCCACAAAGGTTCTGCAGTAATGTAACCATTTTTTGTTGCTTTATCACTACAGTTTGCCTATCTATTTTGAACAATGTCTAGCAGACACTTGAGAAATGCTGGTCTTCAGATCCCTAGCAAATGACCAAGTCATGAGAATGCAAGTCCAAGACTTGGCTCTTGCCCTAGGAGGGCATATGGCTTTTATTTTTGTTTTTTTGTTTGTTTGTTTGTTTATTTATTTATTTTTACTTACTTTGATACAGGGTCTCCCAGTAGCCCCTTGCTAACCTGGAATACACCATGTTAACCAGACTGGCCTAGATCTCACTGATAGCTGTCTGCCTCTACCTCCTGAGTGCTGGGACTAAAGGTGTGCACCACTGCACCTGGCACATATGGCTATTTATTTATTTATTTATTATTTATTTTTAACTTTAAAAAAACTTTATTAAGAATTTCATACATGCATATAAGGTGTTTTGATCAAATCCACATCCGCTCCCTCCCCTCCAACACCTCCCAT